TCAAGAAGAAAACAAAAACAAACAAAAACAAAAAAAGCAAAGAGAAGTGTTCTCCAAAGGATAACCCTTGAAAGTGTCTGCTTTGGCCATGGCCCAGACTGTCCACGATGGTTGTAGTTTGCATATACCAAACCTTACTTGTCCCTCTGACTGTGTATGGGCTTGTCCTGTCCTTTTCTAATTGACTGAACTGTATGAAACTCCTTTCTTAGTTCATCCTCTCCACTAGCATGATGCCAAGGATCTAGGAGAAACAAAATCCTATATCTGGTGACCTTATTTTCCCTATGCTTCCTCTGCTTACATTTCTAACCTTAAGAGAAGAGGGTATGGATTGCTTGCACATGCATGTTCTAATTTGACTTACCCATCAACCCCATGTCAGGGGTGAAGGACTCAGAAGAATTCCCTCCTATTTAAAAGGGAAGAGGTTGGGGAGCAAAACGAGTTCAGTTTCTGGACCCAAGACCACCTTCTGCCCAGTGGATAATGTAAACTGTCTGGGGCCTTAACCTGACCATACAGCAGCCATTGTTACCACTAAACATTTTGACTTCCAGAGTTCTGGAAGTAACTAATTATTGAAAGCTGAGCCCTAAATGGGATATCTAGATTATCCCCTCCAAGGCTCAGAGAACATTGTGTCTTCCATGAGGGGACAGAAGGATGTAAGAGCTGGAGGAAGGGGAAAGTGCTATGGAAGGCTTCTTTGTGGCTATGGTATGGCTGTTGCCCTCGAGCACTGGACTGCTGTGATTATCGGCATAAGAGCTGCACAGGATTGGGCCCATTCTCATACCATTAGGAGGGAGGGGTTCACGAAGTCCCATCCTGAGGCTGTTGATTTGTGTTCATCTGAAGAGGAAGAGATGTTTTCCTCACTGGTATAACCACTGATGAGGTAGCCATGCTTCTGTAAGCAACCCCTCACTCACACTTCTGTAAGCAATCCTAATTAAACTCAGTGGGCCACAAAGAAAGAGACTATGGTGGGTGTGGGGAGAGAAGAAAGAAATCTTGACAAAGGAAGAGGCACTAATTGGGAAGAGAACAGGGGTTAGCAGGAGTGAGGAGAAGAAAGGGTTATGAAGGGGTAAATATGCTCAAAATGCATTATATGGTGAATGAATGTGCCATAATGAAACCCTCATTGTGTATCACTAATAAAAAGCTTTTGCAAAGTACTAATTTGACCACCAGAGTTATTGTAGTTTCTACTTTCGCTTGTATGTCAAGCCAGTGTCTCATCTGTGTAGTGTTGAGGTTGGATCTAGAATTATCCCCTTCATGCTGGTCTAGTATTTCTGACCTTTTACTCCACTGAAGAGAGTCATGCGTCTTTTACTTTCTGGAGAAGTTGGGGTGGGCTGGGCTGGAGAGGTGGCTCAGAAGTTCTGACTTCCCTTTCAGATCCAGGTTCAATTCTCAGTGCCTACATGGCAGCTCATGTAACCGCAGTCTCAGGGGATCTGATACCCTCTTCTGGCCACCACAGGTGCCAGATGGACACATGGTACACAAACATACATGTGGACAGAACACTCATACACTTAAAATAAGTGAGAAAGAGAAGTTGGGATAGTTGGTTTGTGTTTTATGTATGATGAAATTGTAATTCAAAAAAAGAAAGTTGCTTATTATTAATTACATATCCCATTAGTAAAAAAGTGCCGTGATTGGAACTCAGAATTGGAGATTAAAACCTTATAATCCCCCAAATTTTTAACAATTAATAATTTCTCCCCTTATAAGAATATTTCAATTTGAGGGTGTTTGCCCTCCTGTGAAATATATTATAAATGTAGGTTTGAAAGCAAATTTTATGCTCTATTTTTAACATAACTTAGTTCAAAACTTTGAAAATGTCTAATTATTAGAAACAGAATCAGTGTGGTTATCTTTTGTGTGCTTTTAAGTGATAAAATTAGTAACTTGGCAGCATTCTCATTGGTATGATAGATAAAATTGATCTTATCTGTTCACCAGAAATTTCAGGAAAAAAAATATAGAATTGTTGAAGTGTACAGATAAAATACAGGACACCCAGTTAAATTTAACTTTCAAATACTACTTACAATAAAACAATTATTCCTTGTTTTTTTCCCCAAACTCGACATTACCTAGGTGTCCAGTATTTTTGTTGTTATTGTTACAGTCTAAATTCTTAGAGTGAATATTTTTTCGAATATACTCATTATGTATTATTTTTAGTGCAAAACTTTTTTGATTTATAAAATATTACCTGTTTCCAGAGAAATGTAGACATGATAGGATTTCATTAGATTTTTGTTTTTAAGGATACTATCCTCAAGAATCTTTTTTCCTTTGGGTTCTCTCAGTTCATATTTTTTAATTGTGTATTTATAATGCGGCATTAACTATGATCCAATGTAGAGAATTAAAATATCCATTATTACAAATGATCATATTCTCTTTGTGCCTTCATTGTTTAAATTTGGTTTTGACTTTCAAATTTGCTTAAGTTAATAAGATACCTTCTTCATGACGGGAAGTGATGGGTACTCTTGGGAAGTCAATTCTCTTCTGCATCATAGCACTAGGAATAGGAGACCTGGTTTTGCCACCAGACCACAGAATGGATTTGGTTTAAATATGTAAATTACTTTCATAGTTTAGAAAGTAAGGCTGTTAATGTCTGCCTCATCAGGTTTAAATAAAATGATACTTTTTAAAAAAGTAATGACTATTTCTCAAAATTCCTTAGTGTCAAGAAAGAGGTATGAAAATTGAGATAGTATCCTAGTCTGTAGAAGTGATTTACCTTGCCCCCACTACCAACCAGACCTGGTTTGAATGAGACTGGTCCCAAAGGGTTGCATATTTGAATATTTGGACCCAGTTAGTAGAACTGTTTGGGAAGGAGTAGGAATTGTGGCTTTGTTGAAAGAGGTGTGTGGTCACCCTTTGAGGTTTCAAAACATACCATCTTAGTGTGTCTTTCTGCTCCTAACTTGTAGAACAAGTTGTAAGCTTTCAACCGTTCCAGATGCCACTCCTTTACTCTGCCATCATGGACTCTAACCCTCTGAAACCATAAGCTGCACATTAGATACCTTCTTTTATACGTTGGCTTGGTGGTGTTTGTCACAGCAAGAAAAAGGTAACTAAGAGAGAAGCTGGAACCAGAATGTGGACTATTGCTGTGACAAGCCTGGCCAGGGTAGTTTTTTAGAGGAATGTGGAAGACTTTGGGATTTTTGGACTAGGAAAGCATTTGATTTCTCTAAGCAAGATTTAATGGGCCATCTTAGTAGGATTTGGAAGACAGTACTGCTGAAAGCAGTGTGGACTATGCAGGCTCGGTTCAAGAGGTTTCAGAGGGGAACAATATTAACAGCTGGGCTAGAAGTGTAAATATTACTTCATGTTCTCACATGATGGGTGAGATGAGTGCTATACCAAAGTCATGTGAATACACAGCTTGTGCTGAGCCCAGAATGATTCTTTCTCTATTCTAACTCTCCCTACCCATAGCCCTGGAAACTTCTAACCTCCCTACAATCTAGTCTTTCAAGCTGACTGATTCAATCTGTCTCCTCCCTACTTCTGACTTAATTGCTCTGCTTGACCTCATACTAATTTTGGCAGTATGTTTTAATCTTTTAACTCCTTGTTTTCTGGCTTGTTCTATTTTCACCTGTGTGTTGCGTGTTTTCTCTGCAATCTGTTCCTGTCAAAACTGTCCCAGTAAAACTTCCATACACACACACACCATTATATCACCTTTTCCCCATCCCCTCTCTCTCTGCTCTTAAGTAGCCTCTCTTGTCTGTGCTGTTCTTATGAGAGTTGGGCATATGCTATTGGACTTATTCTGTCAAATCTTTCCCTGATTCATCACTTTATCTGCCTCTAAATTAGACATTGCTTTTCAAGCATGGCTTCTTTCTTCTACAAACTAACTTTCCCTTCATTGTTAGGTGTTAAAGGTGTTTACTAAGGGCTTATCTGTATTCTAGCCTGATAATACTATATAGCATACATACCAGGGTGTATGTGTGTGCTTTTTGGCCAGATTATATAGTCCTACAAGGTCTTTGGATGTGATCTCTTTCCAGAGCAGCCATGTTACTGAATTAAAATTCCTGTACTTTGAAAACATTCTTGTGATATTTTGGCAAGGAATGTGGCTACATCCTACCGTTGTCCTACAAATTTGCCTGAGGAAAATTGAAAAGTTTTAGTTTCTTGGTGGAGGATATTTTAAGACAGCTTAGTGTTGACTATCCCATGGTTATTAGTAATCACTTTTGCACAGGTCTACAGTAAAAAGATAACAAGTAGGGCAAAAAAAAATAAAATAAAAAATAAGATAAAAGGAAGAAAAATAAAGAAGTAGAAAATGTCCAGCTTGAAGAGAAAAATTGCACCAGGAAATTTAATGTTGGAGCCAAGGATTGTGCTGAAAGAGATGAGAAAAATTAAAGAAAGATTTGATTCAAAGTGGAATAAAAGGAGAAGGGCCCTCAGAGCAAGACCCTAACAGCTAAGCTCCCAATGAATTTTCTGTGCCTTAAAGGACACAACAAAGTAAAGCCACTGCGAAGAACCCAAGGTCTGGGACATGTTAATTACATACTCTAGCACTGAGCCCCAGGCCCAGCTTTGACAAAGATTACTTATGTTAGTGTACAACCTACTGCTAAAGCCAGCCTAGTTTGCCTTTGTAGATGTCATGCTGTGTATAGCCAGCTCTCAGATAGAATTAAGATGCTGCTTGTCTTTGCTACAGCAGATAACATTATAGTTAAATACCCTTGTATTTCTTTTGTTACATGAAAAAGGAGTTTTATCTTAGAGAAAGAAATTGCCATCCAGAGAGATGTACACACACACACACACACACACACACACACACACACAATCCAGAAAGATTAGAAAGTGACTATAACCATACATTGACAGGATTTTTGGCAGCTTTAAAAGACAGTACCATTTTCCTTTAAATATTTAACATGTCTACATGTTTTGTTCTGCAGAGACATGGTTAATGCATGGTTTTCCGAGAGAGTTCACAACATCCCTGTGTGCAAGGAAGGCAACCGAGCCCATACCGAGTCCTGCTCCTGCTCTCTGCAGCAAAGTCCTCATGCAGATAATACTACCCCTGGAGCACCAGCCAGAAAAATCTCGGCCTCTGAATTTGACCGACCTCTTAGACCCATTGTTGTCAAGGATTCCGAGGGAACCGTGAGCTTTCTCTCTGACTCAGGAAAAAAGGAACAGATGCCACTAACCCCCCCAAGATTTGATAGTGATGAAGGGGACCAGTGCTCAAGACTCTTAGAGCTAGTCAAAGATATTTCCAGTCATTTGGATGTCACAGCCTTGTGTCACAAAATTTTCTTGCATATCCATGGACTCATCTCTGCTGACCGCTATTCCCTGTTCCTTGTCTGTGAGGACAGCTCTAAAGACAAATTTCTCATCAGCCGCCTCTTTGATGTTGCTGAAGGTTCAACACTGGAGGAAGCATCAAATAGCTGTATCCGTTTAGAGTGGAACAAAGGCATTGTGGGACATGTGGCAGCTTTCGGTGAGCCCTTGAACATCAAAGATGCTTATGAGGTAAGTAGGGGATGATGGGGAGGAAAGTATGATTAGAACATCAAACAGTGCTTGTGAATGAATGGTGGGAATGTGGGAAATTGAGATACCATCATTTGCATAGTTATTTAAAGCTGGAATGTAGCCAGGGCTGTAGCCCAGTGGTAGATTGCTTGTGCACAAAGTCTTGGATTCAATCTCTAGCCCTCAGGGAATTGAGGAGATTTCAAAAAATAACAAACAAAAGCAAAGAGTGTAGGATAGGAGCATTGCTAGCCTGTCGATGCCAGTTTTTCTTCCCGAGTACTTTAGTCCAAGGCAGAGCCAAAGGGAAATGTTTTCTTTTCCCATTAAATAAAATGTGCGCAAATCCTTCTCATATTTGTTATATGATGATTATACTTAATGTAGCTATCTCTATCTGAACTTTGTGATTTTAAACTGAGCTTCTAAAATGATAGGTCTAAATAAATCCTAACAAAAATAAATAAATACATAAATAAATAAATAACAAGCCTGTCATCTTTTTCCTTCATTCAAGATGCATTCAAGAAGTCACTGTCATCTTTTGAAAGCCCCATTGATACCAGAGTTTGGTTTTCTTTCCTTCTATTTTTGCTTGTCTTTTTCTTTTCTTTTTCTTTTTTCCAGATGATACACTTGGGGGCTTCAACATGGTTGCCATTAGGTCATGTCAGAATTCTGATAGAACTGGGTGTCTGTCAACTTTTAGTATTAAAATTTTATTTGCAAAGATATTAGGAAGCTTTATATCCTTATATCCCTGATTTTGGAAATATTGTCAATAATTACTCTCATTTTTCTATTTTCTTTAAATTTGTATAACCCCCTACTTTATCATAATGAACTTAAAAATAAAAATATCATGCATATATCATTGATGTAGTCACTCAGACAAATACTTGGCGAGTCCCAAATTCTATGTATCTATGAATACATATTATTCTGGTAGAATGGCCACTCTGAAGCCATGAAGCATAGGTTTTATACTTTCACTATCAATTATTTTTATACACCTATCCACCACAAATTTGCTTTATATCCTTTACCTAAATTCTGTCCTTCTTCATCACTAATATTTCTTCTCTATAACTGTTCCCACATGTATATTTGTTTAGATATATAATTCATAATTTATAGGCTAGGATCCACATATGAGAAAGAACATGTGTGTTTTCCCCCTTTTTTGGTTGGGTAACCTTGCTAAATATTTTGCATTTTATGTCTATCCAATTTCCTAAAAAGTTTTTATTCATTTTTTAATAGAGCCAAATAATACCTTATAAATTTACCAGATCATTATCTTTTTATCTGTTGATGGGCACCTAGGTTGTTTCTATTTCTTTGCAATAGTTAATAGAGCAACAGTAGATATAGTGTAAGATATACTCCATGGTAGAGTATGATACTCTCTGGGTCTATGCCCAGGAGTGAAATAACTGGGTCATGTGATAGTTTTATTTTTTTCAAATTTTTTTTTGGGGGGAACTTCAAGCTGATTTTCTTTGTTTTTTTATTGGATATTGTATTTACTTACATTTCAAATGTTATTTCTTTTTCTCAAGCCGGTTTTCATAATGACTGTAATAATGTGTACCCCACCAACAGAGAGTAAGGGTCCTCTTCTACACAGTCTCCAGCATTTGTTATCAAATTTCTTTTTTTCTTTCTTTTGTTTTCCATTCCTTACCTTTCTTTTTTAAACAGGAAGTTTATTTTATGTGGATGAGCATTTGCTATGCATGGATGTCACGTGCACTGTGTGCATTCCTCATGCCTGTGGAGGCCAAAAGAGGATGGCAGATCCTTTGGAATTAGAGATACTAACTATGTGGATGCTGGGAATCAAACCTGGGTCCTCAGAAAGAGCAGCAAGTGCTCATTACTGCTGAACCTCCTCTCCAGTGTCTCTCATCAGATCTCTTAATGACAACCATTTTGAAAGAGTGAGGTGGTATCTTAAAGTATTTTTAATTTGCATTTCTCTAAACTAGGGATGTTGAACACTTTAAAGTGTTTATTGTCCATTTGTGTCTCCCTTTTTTGGAAACTGTCTATTCCATTCATTAGCCCAATACTTTATTAGCAGTTCCATTTCCTTGATATTTAAATTTTCAGTTCTCCATACATTTTGGATATTAGCCCCTCCATTAAAGTATAGCTGATAAAGATGTTCTCCCATTCTGCGGCTGTCAGTGTGCTATGCCAGTAGTTTCCTTAGCTACACAGAAATGTTAATTTCACCATGACCCATCTGTTGAGATGTGAGGCTAGATTGCATGTCAATTCTGTTCAGAAAAAGCTCTTTCCTACCCCAGCAATTTGGAGAGCATTCTCTGGGTTTTTTTTTTTTTGTCTCATAATTTAAGCATTTTAGGCTTTTTGTTTGTTTCTTTATTTATTTTTTTGTTGTTGCTGTTTTGTTTTTTGAGTCAGAATTTTTCACTGTAGCCCTAGCTGTCCTGGAACTCACTCTTTAGACCAGGCTGTCCCGCAACTCAGAGGTCTGCCTGCCTCTGCTTCCTAAGTGCTGGGATTAAAGGGATGCACCACCACTGCCTGGCTTCATTTTGGGTTGTAAATTAGCTTCTTTGGTCCATTTCTAGTTGACTTGTGTACAATGTTAAAGATATGAATCTAATTTTATCCTTTTACAGAAGGATATCCAGTGTTGCTACCATTGTTAAAGAGGCTTTCCCAATGTATGTTTTTGCCTCCTTTGTCAAAGATTATGTTGGCATGGCTTTGTCAGCTTATGTCTGGGTCCTCCATCCTATCCTGTTGTCTGTCTGTTTGTTTTTATGCCAATAGCAGACAGTCTTCATCTCTGTGGCCTCACAGTGCATCTGAGGTGAGATATAGTGATACCCCCAGCTACGTTTTTACTCCTTAGGATAGCTTTGGCTATTCACGGTCTTTTGTGGTTTCATATAAATTCTTGGATAGTTCTTCCCAAATCTGTGAAATGTGACGTCAGAATTTTGAAAGATACTCTGTTAAATTTATAGATTACTTTTGGTAGCAGAGGTGCTTTTATATCATCAATTCTGCCAGTCCAAGAGTTTGAGTGTCTTTCTGTCTTCTAGTGTTTATCAGATGTAGACATTTTTCTGGTGGATACTATAGAGTTATTTAAGTGTAGTATCATGTTCTTTGTAAACAAGAGTAATGTGACTTCTGCCTTTCCAGTTTTTATCCCTGTATTACCTTTCTCTTGTCTTTTTGCTCAGACTTCAAACAAATATTAAGAGAGGGGAGAATCGGTATCTTATCTCTTTCCTCATTTTAGAGGAAATTCTTTTGTTTTTCCATTTAACGTAGGAATGACTGTAGGTTTGTTGTATATGATTTTGGTGTTTTGAGGTACACTTTATCTATTCCTAACATCTCCAGTACTTTATCATGAAGGCAAGTTGAAATTTATTGAATGTCTTTCAGGATCAATCAAGACGATTATGTAGTTTCTGTCCCTAAATATGTTACTTTATTTTTATGTGTATGATTTATGTTTTTACTTTTGTTCAATCAAGCTTGACTTTCAGAGATTAGACACACTTGGTCATGGTGTATGATCATCTTAATGTGTTTTTACATTCAACTTGCAAGTATTTTGTTGAATTTTGTATACACGTTCAGCAAAGATTTTGGTCTTTAGTTTTCTTTCTGTCTATCTATCTATTCTTTTTTTCTCTTTCTTATTGTGCCTTTACCTAGTTTTAATGTCAGGATAATACTGGCTTCACTGAATGAAGTAATTTCTTGTATTGTTTAGTTTCCAAGTGTCTGTAGTTTTTATACTTTTTCTTGATTTTTACTTTAATTATATGTGATCTAATAGGATGCAAGGGATTATCTTGATTTTTCTTTTTTTTTATTACTTGTTGATACTTGATTTTTATTCTATGATATGATTGATTGATTTTGGAGAAAGTTCCATATGCTGTTAAAAATGTATATTTTCTGTTTGTTGTTTGGAATAGTATATATATAACACACATACACACACACACACACACACACACACACACACACACATATATATATATATGTATAAATATTAAGGCTAGTTGATTGGCAGGTAGTGTGTTGTAGCCGAAAAGTTCTTTGTTTGCTTTTAGTATGGAAGACTTCTAAAAATGAAAGTAGAGTGTCACAGTTCCCCACTATTATTATTCCAAGGTTTATATGTCCTTTTATGCCTTATAATGTTTGTTTTATGAAATTAGAGCCTCCAATATTGGTGCATACATGTTTAGAAATCTTGATAAATTATTTCCTGTATTAATACATAGGGTCATATTTATCTCTTTTAATTGATTTTGATTTGACATTTACTTTAAAATAAGGATAGCTAAGTCTGCCTGTTTTTGTTTTCCATTTACTTAGTAGTTGTTCCCCATATTTTGATCTAATCTTTTGGATATCTTTGCTCGCTAATTGTGTTTCTTATATAGACAATATGTAATTGGTTCTTGTTCTATTTTAATCTATTTCATTAGTCTGCATTTTTAAATTGTGAGTTTAGGCCATTTATATTTAAAGTTATTGTAGGAAAGAGTTTGCTATTATCTATGAATTTGTTAGGTGTTTTTCTGTTTTGCTGTGCCATTGGCATTTCCTTTCTTCCTCCATTAGTTTTGAGGATTTTCTTTGTCAGTCTATTTTGTCTTTCTATTCCTTTCATGGAGTGAGAACTTCCATGCATTCTTCTAAAGGAAGATATCTTTCCTCTTCCTCCCTGTAAAGTATTCCAGGACAATTTCCTTCAGTGCTGGCTTGGTTGTCACATATTGTTTGTGTTTGGAAATACCCCAATTTCTCTATCAATTTTGAAAAATAACTTTGCTGGGTATAGCATTCTTGATTTACGGTTATTTGCTTTCAGAACTTGAAATATGTAACTCAATGTTATTCTAACTTTTATGGTTTCTGAAAATTCTGGGGTTAATTCTGATAGTTTTTCTGCCTTTTTATGTGATTGATGTTCTCATGCTGATTTT